AGAGTCACCAAATAACTGATGAGACAGTGCCCCAACTATCAATCTGATACCATGTGAAACTTTCCATTCAATCTAAAAGAGTTGTCAGCCAAAGGGGCCATATGGAAACCCCTAAACAACTCCAGATATTGCCGAGGCTTTTGATTTCTCTCCAAAAACTGATAGCAATCATCTAATGCTGAAGACAACTATTAAATATCTCAGTTAACATGGAGAAGTCAAGTTGGTGCCTAAGTGGACCCTTCCCTGCTCCTGACCAGATTCCATGGTACTGGAGCATACACTGGGCACTAACAGAGAAGAGTATCCCTGAACCCAGTTTTAAACCCTGTGTGAAGGGAGGAAAATACAAGACAAGGAGGAATTAATAACAAAATTTTTTGTTCTATGTTTACACACACACAATCACACACACACACACACACACACACACACACACACACACACACACACACACAGACTGAAGTTTGGGTCTGGACTCCTGTTAAAGGCCATGACTTCCTCTGTGACCCTAATGAAGGTAGAGATGATAGGGCTGTACAGAATTGACTGTTCCCTTACCTGCTGAAGCACTCAAGAGAGAAGGCCCTTCACCTCTCCTGGGCACACAATACTGCTGACCTTGTTCAGAGGGGCATTAGGTGAGCTGGCCCTGAGGATGTGAGAATGGGAGAGTAGGTTATGCCCCTCTCATGTACAATGTGGTAGCACGTGTGAGGGAAACATGTCCTGATTCCCTCACCCCTTGACAACTTCAGAAGGTGGAGCACCTGAACCAACCTCTTACCAGCTTCAATATTAGGAAGAATGAACCCTCTGTCTCACCTGGGAAGCACAGTAGAGTTGATCCTGTAGACAAGGTGCAGATGAGCCAGACCTGAGAGCTTGAAAGGAGCATAACTGGTACTGCCTCCCTTGTCTGCAATACGATGGTGGGGATAAGAGAAAATGCCCTCCACCTTGCTCCTACCACCTCCAGCTGGTGAGGTAGTAGACCCATTTACCAGCTTGGGAAAGTGGACCCTACATCTTGTCTGGCCAGCACAGTGGAGCTCACCCCATTGATGAGGGAACTGGTAAGCCAACACCAAGAACATGAACAGGGGAGGCCTAGCCCTGGCCCTCATCTGCCATATTGTGGCACGGGTGAAGAAGAGATGCCCTCCCCTCTATCCACATCTCAGGCAGGTGGGAGAGTTGGCCATGAGGTTATAAGAGTAGGAAAGCAGCCCTTTGCCACATACCAGCTGCAACACTCAGGAGAGTAGGCCCTGAACTTCACCTGGGCAGCACAAGAGTCAATCTTGTTGGTGGATGTGTGGGTGAGAAAGCCTCAACATTGTGAGCATGGGAGAACTATCTCCACTACTCTTCCATCATGTAGTGGTGTGGGCAGGGGAGAGATGCCTCCCCAATTACCCCTTGCCTCTTGACCCTGCATCTTGCTTGAGCAGCACAGTAGAGTTAATCCTGTTGTTGGAGGTATGGTGAAGCAGTCCTGAAGTTATGAGCACGGGAAAGCTGTCCCCATTACTCATCTGTCTGTGGAGGCATGGGCGGGAGAGTGATCCCCTTCCCCTGCCCATCAATGCCAACCCTGTTGGTGGATGTGTGGGTGAGCCAGCCCCAAGGTTGTGAGCATGGTAGAGCTGTCCCCACTACACGACTGTAATTTGGCAGTGTGGGTGCAGAAGAGATGCCCCCCCTTACTGCTTGCGCTATGGCCTGAGATAGACAAGTAAGCTGACTCTCCCCCTTACCATCTGCAGCACTCAGGAAAGCAGGCCTTGATGATCCTCACCTGGGCAGCACAGTAGAGGTGACCCTGTTGGCAGTGGTAGAGGCAAGATAGCCCTGAAGCTTTGAGAGTGCTGTGGCCGGCATGTCTCAGCCCCAAGCCACAGTATCCATGAGGTTCGGCCTGAGTGACGGAGCATGGACTTGAGAATTTCTAGTAACCCAGAGGCAATAAGGACCAAACACAGGCATCTTCTCATCTTCAGAGAACTCTTAGTTCCATGCTATAAAAATGGAGTCTTTTCTTTATTCAGCTTCTTCCTGGCTGTTTCATAACCATGCTTCTTTGACCCTGAAGCCATTTGTCTCTCCTCCAATTGACTCGTTCCTCTTTGTTTGATCTCACTTGTTACTTACACACCTAGCCCTCTGCCCTGGTGCAGGCCTATTCAAATGCTTAGTCCTGTAGATATGCAAACTGGGGGACATTCCCCACTGAGGTCATGCTATTCAATAGCAAATCAGCTAGCATCTGCTATTCAATACAGACTGGAGCTCCCAGTTACTGGAACCACTGGAAATTTCCTAATAGAATTTTCCTGCCCTCCCTCCCCCCACATGAGAGTGCTATGGTGTCAAGGGCCATGAGAAATACAGCAGGATAACTAGTATTCAACAGGCTCACCTACCACATGAGTGATTCTAGGCTGTGGACTTACTGGCTGTGGAAATAGGTTGCTCCTGTCTGTAATTCCATGAATCACTCCATCTCTTCAATAATAGCATCATTTCTCCCCTAAGAATAGCTTTGGGTGTTTTCCACTGCTTGTGTGTCTATCTCTGGGCACGTATACCTGTAGCTAGTCAGGAAGAGGACCTTTAATATGACTGTATAATTTTGATATATAGAATACATACTGGGTGCCTTGAATTCTCAAAAAGGCTATTGAGTGAAAGAAAGGAAATCCTTCTTACTCTGGCATCAGCAGGAACAAAGAGTCCCACTGCTTGCCTCAGAGGCTGAAGGTGTCAGGCTCTGGATTTCATACTACATAGCCATAGTTTTCCCTTTTATATAACTGCCTAAGATGTAATCTCTACAGCTGAGATGTCCCCTTAATCAGCTAACATTTGGTGAATATGCTAACACAGACCAAACATCACACAAACCCATCTTTTCTCTTCTTAAAATTCTATACTGATTTAAAGCTCCATCCTTAGCTGATCTTCCCAGTGTCTGCCAGGGAGTCTCACAGCCATGCCTTTCAGAGCCATACAGGAAGCTGACAAGTTACTGCTATTATCTTCTTTCATGACACTGAGAAATGAAAGCTCTATAATTTTTGCCTTTCCTGAGAATTTTGGATGGTGTGGGTACATTAACTGGAAACATTATGTGGGGTGGAAAAATAGACATGTTTAGAACAGCACATGTGTGAGAGAGTTCATTTGCCCCCAGGTCCTGAATCCATTGGTGGCTATTGCATGATCTTTGAACCCTGAGAGGACTTTGGAGCAGTACTCCAAGTAAGTCCTTGATACTATAGTTGGCTATACCCTACTTGTCTGCCATGTGGTCATGAAAGTGAGGGGAAAATGTCCTCTGCACCCCTGACACTTCCACCTATGGAGGATAAGGGAGTTGACCCTCTCCTTTACCTGCTGCAGTGATCAGGAATATGGACTCTGCATCTCCTCTGGAGAGCACAGTAGTGCTGACCCTGTTGGCAGAGGTGTCAGAGAGCCAGCCCTGATGTTGTGAGCATTGGAGAGCTACTCCCATTGTTCATGTGTCATGTGGCAGGGGATAGATGTTCTCCCCACCCCATACCCCATCAAAAGCTTAGGCATGTGGAAGAGCTAGCCCTGAGGTCAAAAGAGCTGTCAAGCTGTCCCTGCTTCTCATTAGCTGCAACACTTAGGAGAATAGCTCTTATACTTCCCCTGGGCAACAAGATTAGCTGGCACTGAAAGTGTTGGTATGGAAGAATAAACCCTGAAGTTGTAAAAGCAGTAGAACTGGCCCCTGCCCTTGCTCAACCATGCAAGGATGAACTAACCAAGGCAAAACTAGAGAGCTTACCTTGATGGTAAAGATGGGCGCCTGACAGGCTGACTAACCCTGCAACTACCCATGAAAAGGACCAGGGTTATATGTTGGCTCAACATACCATCCACCCCATCTGTGATTTGCTGGAACACAGAATCTCCACCACACAGTATTCACAGGAAGAACTCTAATAGGGTCCAGCATCAATGATATAGCAGAATCCAGGTACCTCAAAACAGACAAATGATGATTTGTGCTAAATGCCTGCATGTAAAAATGTGTGAATAAAGGAATTTACTACATGACTCATTGTATCACACTGCAGGCTCTATGATGACATTTATGTTTTCTCCCTTTATTCTCTGAAATTTTATTTTGTCTTATTCTTGGTGGGGGATAGGTTGGATTGGGAGGCATGATGTGAAAGACACAAAGAATAAATAAAAAGAAGGAACAATGAAATAAATAAATTATTCCTTTAAACCTAGACATGTGACAGGGACATTAACCACTCTGGTCCTTTAAGAATTTATGTCATGATCCTGAAATGTTGCTCATAATCTGCCATTCATCACTGGTAACCGTGGAAACATGAGAATTTTTAGAGTCACCTTACACTTGGCAGTCACTAAATTTGGACTACACAGAAGACACTAAGGGGCAAGTATTCTATTTTTCCATGCAGGTTTATTAATCATTCAATTTCACAGGACAAAGAAGGCAAAAGTGGCCAATGGCATATGGTTCAGCTATTTTTTGAAAACATTCCCATGTGAGTACATCTTGCTGAATATAGATGCTGTAAATCTCTGGGTGTCTATGAGGGCTCTGGAGCTTGTACTGACCTTTGTACCTGCATGGTTTCCTGAAGTTGAGCATGAGAATAGGACTCTTTGTTTTGTTTTCCTATCTATAAAATGGAGATGATTGTCTAGAACTCATTGGAGGAACAGGAGTATCAAATGGGCTAATATCCCTGAAGTGTATAAATGAGGCTCCAATGAAGCAAAGCAGAGGAGAGGAATGGGTAGGTTTTTGTGAACCTGGGGTTGGTTGGTGAGACACTGTTTTGTGCTGGAATGTCTAAAAGAACTTCTTTTACTGAAGGTGATTCACCTCTTATGTGACTCCCTTTCTGGTCAACATTTCCTGTTATTTGGAAGATATTTATGATCTTGGCATCTTTCAAATGGATCTCCTCATCACCCATGATATGCGAAGGTAAAAACTAAAAATGAGTTATGTAATGATAAGTCTTTCTGCCAGCCACCCGAGTTCCGCCTACCACGTGGGCAGCCAAAGTAACACAGAGAGACTTATATTAGGTACAAATGCTTCTAGTCAATGACTAGGATTTCTTACTGTTATCTCAGACTTAATTATCAACCATCACTATTAATCTGTATATTTATAAACTTATCTTATTGAGGACTCTGGCAGCGCTCGCCCATTCTTCTCGGGATCACATAGCAGAGACTGGTCTTACTACATTTCCCAGAATCCTCCTTAACCTCTAGTCTCACCTATCTTTCTGCCTTATTGGTGGAGCAGTGTTTTATTCAATAACCAATCAGATAAACATATACACAGAAGGATGTCCCCCATCAGAGTTACATGGAAGATTTTAAATTGGATCTTTGTGAAACACAAGTATCCACTCCATGGGATTCAGACAGGGACAGAACCAGATCATGCCAGGCTAGCTCATTTGTCTGTAACAACAAAATTCCCCACCCTAATTCCAGTTGTGCTTCAAAGGGCATTGCACCTTCTGTCCACTGCCTCCAATCTACCTTGTCACAGAGAGGGTGGACAGGGTGTTAGGCCAGCCACCATCAATTGAAAACCCATTTTGCTGATATGATTTCCCAAGTAGTACAGCAACTGTCTTGTCTAAGTTAAAATGCATATTCCATAGGGACTGTGGAGATGTGGTTAGCTATAGGGAAAGAATGTCAACAAGGTGATCCTGTTTACAGACCCCTGAAAACATCTACATGTGCAGTGGCAATGACATTCTTCACATGTTGGAGGCTACAAAACTTTTCCTGCTTCCTTTATTAAGTACTCAGTGGCATCCCTCAGGGTATAGTTCTTCATGGGCATTAACACCACATCCAAAAACTTGAAATGAGAAGTGATTTAAATGTGCTGTTGCACATAGTAAATGTAGAGTCTCAGTTTTGTGATAAAGATGATAAATTGTTCCCACAGTTAATCAGGATACTTTATAGGTATCAATCAAATGAAGCTGGTTATCTGAAAATCCACACTTGAATAAGTTATGGGTCAATGATGGAAATGTCCATGAATCATCATGTTGTATATGTAGGTTTTGACTTTTGACCCTGACAAAAGGCTTTATTGTCTCCAATATCATCAGTTCAAAAAAAAAAAAAAAAACTATGCCACTGAGCTATATCCTTAAGCCATATATATATTCATTCACATTGTGGTTTAATTATAAATTTTGTATACTTTTGTAAAACTGCACATTTCAGAAAAATGTACAAGTAAGATTTACATTCTACACTGCTAGTTTGGCCTACCTACAGTTACTTTTGGGAGTGATTCTTTTTCTTTTTCTTTTTTATTTTTGGTTTTTCAAGACAGGGTTACTTTGTGGCTTTGGAAGCTGTCCCAGAACTAGCTCTAGTAGTCCAGGCTGGTCTGGACCTCACAGATCTATGCATGCCTCTGCCTCCCGAGTGCTGGGATTACAGACCTGTGCCACCACCGCCTGACTTGGGGGTGATTCTTTTATGTTCCCATGTCTTTGTGTGTGTGTGTCTGTGTGTATATGCATGTAAACATACACACAGCAATGTATTATTCATATATGAAAATTGGGCATGAATGAGAAAAACATGTGGATCATTTTTCATTTTCCTTCTTTGTTCAGCAGACATCAGTTTGCAATAACCATATATTACTACACTTCCATAATTGGAGTTTATATTTGAGCATTCTTCTACTTATAAGTCTCATTTAAGTTATCATGATTCATTTTGTTTTACCATATTCCTGTGTGTTCCTGGCTTAATTATATACTTGTTCGATCTCATCTTCAGATTTGCCAATGGAAAGGAGTGCATCTTCAAACTGACTGGCTTCCTTAGCAGCCTATCAGCTTTCATGTTTGAAGTAGTTATTGCAAGTTACCCATACTGGCGCCTGTGGGAATTCAACAACAATGCTGTGCAGTTTGTGTCCTTTGGACTCTGGGAAGCTCAGTACTCTCAAGAGTTTAATGTCTCAGGAACCATAACCAAGGTGCTGGTGCATACCCCTATCAATTCCACCTGGATCATTTCACCTGAATTTCAGTATGCACAGAATCTGATAATATGGGCTATTTTGATGAAACCTGTAGTACTGGTATTCAGTGCAATGGCTATTAAGATCAGCTGCATGAAAAACCCAGTTGTTGAGATGCAAATATATTGCTACAAGTTTGCTGCCTTAGTTTTGTGTGTTAGCAGCCTCTTCACATTTGTTTCTGTGAGCTGGAACCACTTTGCAGATCATTATGATCAAACCATTCTTAAATTTCCGCCTGAATTTCCTGTTAAAAAAGAAGCCTTGATAAGGAAACACTATACTGCTGTGTTCCCTTTAGCAGTCCTGACAGCCACCATGTCACTCTTTGGTGTGATCATCTTTCTGTCTGAGATAAGTTCTTTGAAACTTCAGAGTCAGGTGAAGGCCAAGTGTGCTTCCAAGTTCACCAAACAAGAGGTCTGAAGTCAGGGCTTCTGCATTTGCAACATCTGTCTGAAGCTTGATAAAAGAAATTTCCTATTCACACACAAAATTCATGTAGTCATCTACTTGTTCTAAATAAAACATCAGCTCAGTTCTCTGGGTGTGTCTAAGCTTACTTCCTCCTCTGTCTAGTGTGTTCCTTTCTTTAAATTAATTTCCACATTCCAAATTCTGAACGTCATTATCAAGGGTTAGAAATTACCAACAAGCAGTAACAGGCAAAAGTAGACATGAAATGAATGTTGCAAAAATAAACACAACCAATACCATATGAAATCATTTTGTAAGGAAGCTGACACCTCAACATACAAAAGCAAACATATTTTTTGGTGATATCAGTAAGTCCTTATGTCTATTGAGGGCAGAGCTATACTTCATAGTGTTAGATTTGCCGACAGTGTGTATTGTTTTCACGAAGTAGGAAGGTTATTCTGTACAATGGACAGTTGGAATCTGTTATCTTTATGTTTGTGAAAATCACAAATGGCCAGGCATTTCCAATGTGCTTTGGTTGGAAACGTAGTATAGAGATCAGCTGTTCATCCAAAGTGGCTTTTTTCATTTTACATTCTAAATCAATTTGATGAAATTCACATTAATTTAATGACAAACAAAATTACCTTCTGAACAATCCTACTAATACAAATCATGATACTTTTAATCCTTTGTCCCCATAAAATGGAGGCCATTGACTAGTGAAAAATTTATTTTTGCCATCTCTAAAATTATCCATCGTCTTTAACAGTCAAGATTTTCCAGTTGTTCAAAGTCTCTTTTGGACTCAGGGAGTTTTTATTGTGGGACCATGGGCAATCAAAAATCAACTCACATAATTGTAACACAAAATGATAGTGAGTAAATATTACCAATATAATAGGGAGGAAAATAGACTAAGCAATGGAAGAGATGACAGAAAAAGACCTAAACCCATGAGGTTAAACCCTGAATCTGCCAGCTCCATGCCTCTCATCTAGTAATATGAGACACTCATTCTGGCTTCAAAAGTCTTTTAGGTACCCTGGCCTTCTGGCAATTCTGGCTGAATTATGTCATCTCTTCCTTGAGCTGTCTTTTTAACACACATGCAGCTGTCCACATGAGGTGCCTCATGTTTCTGGCATCATCCTCATCCAGTGTACCCACTCCCTCATGGACTTCTCCTTTACATCTTCATTCAGGAGCCTTTCTGGACCCCCTTGAAGGCACTTTATCTCTGACACATATTATCTCACAAAGTCATTCAAAGATATGTTACCCCGTAATATTAGGGCATCTCTTTCTAGAAATACTTTACCATGAAGAACATGTTTCCAATATCTTTGTGTATCTTGATATGGACCTGGTGGTGTTGGTTATTTTCTTGTGGTTGTTAGCCTGACAAAATTTAGAGTCATCTGAAAAGAGCCTGTCTCTGCTGATTATTCTTTTGTTAACTTGACTCAATCTAGAGTCATCTGAGTAGAGGGATCAATTGAGAAAATGCCTTCTTGCAATTCATCTCTAGGAAAGCCTTATAGCATTTTCTTGATTAATGATTGATTTTGGATTGCCTAGGGCACAATGGTGGTGCCATAGTTGGATATGTCACACCAAGTTGCAAAAGACAAGTTGCTAAGTTAGCATGAGTGAACAATTAAGTGAATAAAATTATTCCATGATCTCTGCATCCATTCTTGCTCTAGGTTCCTTTGTTTATTGCTGACCTAAGTTGCCTGAATAATGGACTGGTAAGTATATGCTTTGGCTTAATCTTAATCTCTAGAATCAAGTACACCAGTGCATATCCACATTAAACGAAGAAGCAGGAGATAGCTCACACATGGTCTTTGCAGGGTGATCTCTCCAGAACCCTTCCTACCAGAGGCACCTCAATTCTGCCTGCCTAGATATGGTCACAGAGACTCTCAACTGCCTACCTATGCTGAATTCTACCTGACCTACACCTACCTATGTCATTGCTACTCCCCAAGACTAATTTGGGATGCAGAATGATCACCATCTTTTCCTGGAGAGCTTCCTTGAACCACTTCTGCTAACACCATGAACACAATCCCAGGCCTAGGATCCATTATACCATTCCTGCACATGCTTTCATATTTTACTTCCACCAAACCCTGGCTTGCCTATGCCATTATTCTTCTTCTGGGCCTATATCTAATTGACATATCATCTCCCTGTTTTGCATGATGAGATCCATGAACCTTTGCCTACCAGTATAATGTTCACCCCTTCCATGCCTGACTACATTCACATAGCTCTGTCACTGGATTTCCTCATAATTCCACATTTGCAATTTCCATACTAAGAGGCCTAAGTGTGTGCAGATCAAGCACAGGTTTTACATTTTGAGGAAGCCTGAACCTTGCCCTCCAGGGCCGTATCCTACTTATAAGCCCTTCTTAGATCACACAGTTTATCCACTAGAATTCCCTTTTGATAGTTTCAGTGCCAAGCTCATTCCTGCTGTCTACACACTACCAGGTGTGTTGCTTTGGATGTTCAGTTTGTCACCTCCTTTTCCTTGTCATCTCCCTTTAACCTTGCTTGCCTATATCACCTCTTCACAGATAGGCCTAATTGCAGTTCCTCATGGACTGCCCTTTATTTCCCTACAGCAACCAAGCCTGCTTGTACTAAACTCACCCTCTGTGGTCTTGTGATTGGGGAAGTGCTTATGTGTATATGTTTGTCTTATTGGTTGATAAATAAAGCACTTTTGGCCAATAGGAAAGCAAGATAGGTGGGGGTAGGGGTCAAGGAGGATTCTGGGAAATGTAGTAAAGACTTGAGTTGCCATGTGAGCCCAGGAAGAGAGGATGCATGCCTCTGGTGTCCTCTATAAGATAAGACTTTATAAAATATATAGATTAATGGTTATGGTTGATACTTAAGACAGAGCTAGAAAATAAAAAATCCTAGTCATTGACCAGAAGCATTGTAACTAAGATAAGACTCTGTGTTATTTGGGCACCCTAATGTGGAGACAGAACCCAGACAACTGGCAGAAAGTGGTATTGTTAGTCTTTCTCAGAAATGATAGGTCATAAACTGTACTTAAACACTGAAGTCCACTGAACCTTGGCTGCCAGAGAGTTCACCACACTTCCATGGCTATCTATGGTGGTGTAGCTCCAGCACACATTTTCATAAAAATTTCCTCAAGAAAAAAGGCTGCCATTTCCCATGTCCACTCTCCCAGGACAATGTAGGTATTACCCTGCTTTGCTTAGTCAAGTCCACTGAATCTTTGATTGGAGACTGGTGTATTCATTCCCATGCCTACTTTCTGCTATGAAGCTCTGGGTACAGCTTTCCCTAGTAGCTATTCTAAATACAAGCATACATGTCTAAGACCATCTCCATAGTCTAAGGCTGGGTATATAAATTGAAGATTGGCCTTGAATTGAAAGCACACCCATGAAACTAACTTGCAAGAACCATTCAGTCATTCTCAGCCCTAGCTCATGTCATGCAGTTTAGACAACAGCTTGAAACTAGTGATGCATTCTAGAACAAAGCACAGGTGTGCCATCTATCTGCAAACTTCATGAACTACATTATGATGAACAGATTACACATCACACATTAAGCTTGCCTGATGATAATTCTCTGAACTTCACCTTCCAGTGTCATCCTCATACTCCCTTGTCTAGATATCTAGGTCACAATACACAGATCTCATAAGAGCTATGCCTTTGAGCTCCAAAGAACCTTTCCCTACAGCATCAATACCCTTGTAGTGTGCCTAATTTTGGTCACAGAGTTTCCTCAGTGGCTTTTCCTGTCAATTCCTACAGATACAAAATGGCCTCTGCCATCAACCACCCATATAAGTTCTTGTATAACTGTTGACAATCACCAAAATCTCATCTAATAGTTGTGATCGAGGCCCTCCTTGAATTAGTAGTTCCTGTACCAGCATTCCATGGTCATTTCTTCAGAAGCAGGCTTTCCTATGCCATCTCCACACTCCCTAAAATTAACATGAGAATCAGAAAACATGCACTTATTTCTTTATCAGAGTCTGTAGCATATCTGCTGGCAGTGTCATCTCCACACTCCCCAGTATAGCAGTCTATATCCAGAAGTGCATATCACAAAACAGGTTTGCCCTGTATTACCAAAATAATCTCATCTGCCAACACCATACCCTCATTAACATATGCTGTCCCTATCTAGCAATTCTATACCTACACTTGCTTCCCTTTCTGCATTTTCTAAGAACCAAACCTCCCTCAACCATCTGCCTAGTCCAAGGCCTCTCTGTAATTTCCCCAAGTTTGCCTGGTGATGTCCACATAACCACATGTCCCACACTCCCAGAAGAAGTTCTGTGGCACCTGCTTTTATATTTCCTAGTGAGTTCTGCATGCATCCAGTACTCTTGGGATCTTTCTGTACTCCCAGACCTGCCTGCAGAGGCTTTCATTGCTCACAAGCACTGCCTGTTGAATTTCTCTTAAGGTTGACGACCAGTGCTATTCCTTTGAGGCCTTATCTATTCTTGAGGCTATTCACTGGCTTTCCTTGGTCAGTTCTCACAGAGAAAATGGCACCTGGACCATCTCCATACTGCAGCCTCTAACATTTTCGCTTACATATTTTATGGAAAGGCTTTCCCGATAATGATCATCAGAAAGATTTCTCAACACATACTGACAGGATGAAGTAATATGACCAAAAGCCACTTAGGAGGAAAGGGTTTATTTCAGCTTACACTTTCCAACTCCAGTCAGGAACCTTTAGGGAAAAACTGACACCAAGGCTAAAAGGGGAAGGTAGTCAGTAGCTTTCTACCCATGGGTCACTAAGCTTGCTTTTTATATAACTCGGTGTAACCTGAACAAGTATGAGAGCACCTCTAGTGGGAAGGCTTCTCCCACATTAAACAATAACCAAGAAAATGTTCCACAGTCTTCCCTGCAGGTCTATAATACAGAAACTTTGTCTCAAAATGTACCCTCTTTCCATGTGATGCT